CTCTCTCTCCCTCCCTGTCTCTGCCGCTATGAGGATCAAATCCCTGGATACATCAGTCCTCTACTCCTGCTCTACTACTGCGGCTATGGCCGCCTGTCTTCCACAGCATAGCGCAGCCCAGCAGGGCTCCTTAGCGGTCTGTTAAACCACCCGTACTTGGCCCAGCTATGGGCTGTGGAAAAAAATAGAGTAGAAATGTGTCTAGTCGGATGAACCTGGGGGCTACTGTAGTGGCCCGTACGTTTCTGAAAATCGTGGCTTGTTAACGGGCATGGCTTTAGGAAGTACTGGTGGTTTAGTCACGCTAGCGCGCAAGCACCAAGCAGGCCGGCCATTCTTCTTATTGACTTGGTGTGGGCCTGTACTTCACTTGGCTTTGCTTGACTTGGTCGCGCGGCCTGTTTGTTTTGGAATATTGGGACCAGATACCTTCCAGGCTTTTTCTTGGAGTGCTGCTGCATTTTGACTGTGGGACAGGACTTCGAGGCCGGGTACCAGTTGGATTTTGACCTTTTTGGCCTGTGGGTACCCGACTCTTTCTGCCAACTCGGCCTCTTTTGACTTCGGAACCGTGACCCTGGGTCCCGAATTTGGGGTCTGCAAAGTGGAAATGCCTTTCAGTATCACCTACTTACCTACTTACCTACTTACCTACTTATATGGACATCTAAGGGAGGGATGTGACTCTTAAGGGTCATCGTGCTATTATTATTTCGTTAACGCTACAAGTTAGTAGGGAGGGAAAAGGGTGAACTGGGTGAACAGGGTGAATTGATAATCCTGTTTGTCTATCTACACAGGTTGAGCCGGTGTGCTGCAATTGTGACGGGAGAAGACAGTGCGCTTCCACGATGTAAACCGTTCAAGTACACTTTTGAGAAGGAGATTGTTATATATCCTTTTCTCTCTCTCTCTCTCTCTCTCTCTCTCCCCTTTAAAAAAGAAGAAAAAAGAGGACGTTCAATGAATGGTGATTGTGGTGGGCGCCATGACACTTCGTGCATGGTAAGCTTCCTGAGAATGACCGGAGCCCAATCCGTCGAAATGCATCAGAGGGACCGTGCGAGTTCTGAGTTTGTGGAACGCCTGGACCATTGCAAGACTGTATCTATTGACTTGGGCATTGCTTGTTCTGTGTTCCCTTGTCCCAGCGAATCGGCAAACAACCTATTTTGTTAAAGAAAGGGCAACGGCCCCAGGTAAATTCAGAAGTATTTGATTTCATTCGCCTTGTTCCAATTGGGATTTGTATATTCAGGTCTATATTTTAACAGTTCGTGAATGTACCAACTGAGCTATGGCCGTCAGTTGGTTCTTTCTTTTTCGTTCTGTCTTTTATTCGTTTATTTTCCAACAAAAAGAAGGATTGATTCCTTGACTTACCTGTACGTATGTGTTCGCACGTATGCCTACTTCAAAAAGCTGGACTACTTCTCCACAGAATGTAAGTTCTTACTTTCTTTTCTTTTTTTTTAATTTTTTTATTCTTTTTTTTTTTTTGGGACCATTTCTCGATTTATGCGTGTCATCCTTGCGCAGGGGCCATGCTAATCTTCTCTGTATCGTCCCAATTTTAACGGATGCCCCAAAGGATGTAAGTTCTTACTTTCAAAGCATGAACTTAACCATTTATATGACCACGTTCATTGTTCATCCACCTTATTCCTGCCCAT